GGAATATGTTTAGATATAATGGCTATAAAACAAAAGACCTCTCCCTCTATCCATTTGCTTCTCTTGACTTTGAATATGCCCCTTTATCTGGGTCCTACTTGGCCAACAGTGGGTAAATATCAGTTTACTCAATTGGTTTTTCTACGGAGTTGATAAACCTCTGCCGAAATTGCAGTAAGAGACTGTTTTCCATATTAAGACTCTTGCAGCTTTCTCTCTGCTGCTCATACTGTAGAAGGCAGAATCTTAGGCTACATCTACACTACAGGGGGGAGTCGATTTAAGATACGCAAATTCAGCTACGTGAATAGCGTAGCTGAATTCGACGTATCGCAGCCGACTTACCCCGCTGTGAGGACGGCGGCAAAATCGACCTCTGCGGCTTCCCGTCGATGGCGCTTACTCCCACCTCCGCTGGTGGAGTAAGAGCGTCGATTCGGGGATCGATTGTCGCGTCCCGACGGGACGCGATAAATCGATCCCTGAGAGGTCGATTTCTACCCGCCAATTCAGGCGGGTAGTGTAGACCCAGCCTTACTGTTTGGAATTAGGACATAAGAGTCTATTAAGAGGAAGAATTGCCTCAGTACCTTCATTCCTCATAACACAGGGTACATTAGGCTCCCTATTAAAATTGGAGAATGATCACTGGCAACAGCACCAGGGCTTGCTGTGTCTTGCTTGTGCATATTTATTTTGCGATAAAGGCTTTCATATCAATAACGGGCATTTATATAGCTCTTTGCATCTTCTAACTTCTGTACAAGCATTAACTAATGAGCTAGGGGGAAATGTAGGTTCACGGACAGGGAAGCTTGGCTACAAACTGATGATGGGTCTGATTTTTAAAATTGCCTGCATGCTTTTGTACGTGAAAATATGCACAAGCATTTAATTGTGCAGTGCTACTTAGCAATGATTTTTCATGACTGTACAGAAATCAGTAATTTGTGGGCATAACTGGCTAGTTAGTTTCATGTCTTTGGTCAATTCCATATGCAATTACCAGATTTCCATATCCAAACAGTTAATTACAGATACAAATATAGGACTCAATTGCTCACATGGAATTTTAAAAATCAAGTCCTATGTGATTCTTCCAAAGCTATGCCAGTCAGTGGCAGATGTGGGATTATAGAATTTTGGAATTCCTGGTTCCCAGTCATATGTTCAGTCCATTAGGCCAACTGGCTTTTATGCTAGATCACCCTTTATCTCTGAGGTCTTTCTTTACCAATCTAGTTTTGGGATTTATGGTGAGCACAAGATGCCCAAAAGGGACCGTGTGTCATGTTTTTGTTTTTTCACTCTTGTAGGATAATTCTATATCCAATCATTCTTATTGTTCATCATGACAACTATTCAGAGTGAGCAGCTGGCCAAACTATTTCATGATAGAGGTACAAGTCACGGTTCCATTGTTGAGTACAAACCCAGGAAGATCAGAGTTAAGGTTAAAGAAAGCAAAAAATGGTGAAGTATGCAAGTGAGTAGTTAAGGCACCCAAACAACCTTAACACCAAGTAGTAGTGGCACCATGAAGGGGAAAATAAATGAAAAAATCTAATGTCTTTAAAATCAGTTTAATCTGATCTGTGGCTATAAACACTACTTAGCACTAACCATAATTGTATAATTACTGCATGGCATTACTACTGAGTGAAGCTGAGTTTGTTTGGATGTTTTTACTGTGCACTTCCAGACCTTATTATGTTTGGATTTCTTTTGCGTTTAACCTTAACTCTGAATTTCCTGGACTTGTAATGCTTGTTTGGGAAATACTTACCACATCCCAGTAATGTTTATACCCTTAAGTTACTGATATGTACCCAGCCTCAACTCCAGTAGTTTTCTTCTGGCAATATAAAAACAATAGTACTTTGCACTTATATAGTCACTTAGATTCATACAGTACTTTGAGAACTTTGGATCAATCAGTCTCTGCATTTTACAGCTAAGTAACATAGGCAGAGAGAAGCTAAATGAGTTACCCCAAGTCCCATGGAAAATCGGTAGAACAATCAGGAATACAACCCTAACTCCCAGTCTCCTTCTCAAACTACTAGGCCAGAATACTTTCTACACAGAATTTACCATACTGAATCTGGCAGTTGGCCCTTCAAGTCCATTATCCTTACCTAATGCTTCTGAGGAAGGCAAATCAAACCCCTCCCCCTATAATGGACTTGGTCAACTGTGTAATATTGAACATAAGCTTAAAGACTGGCTTTGGTATTGTTATTGTCTATAAAACTGCCCAGGTCCCTTTTAAACTCCATTTGACTTTAGGAGCTCTTGTGGTAGATGCCCAAGTGCTTTGAAATCAATCTGAAAGCATTCTGAACTAGCTAGATTCCAAGCTAAACAGGCTGTGGCACTTTAACTGCTGCTTTCCCCAGTTCAGATTAAACACTCCTATAGCAGAATGAATTCTGCAAACCGAGACTAATGACTTGCTTAATATTCATTATTTTATTGAATAATTAATTACTAATGTATTATTTGTTAATGTTAAAAACACATTGTCTCTAGCAGACATGGGTTTTATGGGAAGGAAGAAACAAACCGCCTTGATTTAGACATTATTTACTAAATGAGAACATTCTTATGTGGCATTTTTGAAAACTGTGACTCAACTGTATGTTCTCCTCTATATTTGTCATCCAAAGCTGGAGCTTTTATACCATGTCCAGAATAGATCTGTTCTAACCTGTTGTTTTTGCAGGGTTAGTTAATGACAGCCCAAGTATATAGCCCAGGGTTTGGCTAGGTCAGTTAATTTTTTCTTCTAGTTCTGATTCATGAAAGAAGTGTACCATTGTACTTAGTAGCTTGAGCTGCAGTTGATGCATGTCCACTTCCCACCCCTGTGAGGCATAACTCTGAAACTCGCTTTTCCCACTGGATGGGGGTGTATGCTGCATCAATCCTTCACAAGATGCAGCATGTCCCCCTACATCTTGGGTCTAGAGAATTCTGCCCATCCCCATCCACTTGCTCATTTTGGGGAGCACCACATATATAGCCCCTTTTCTGCTATCCACATCAGGACCCAATATCCTCTGGGCCAAATCCTGCAACTTTTACTTACATTAGTAGTCCAAGTGTAATCAATTTGGGATCTGTTATATGGGACTTTGGGACTGACCTTTAAGGTTGCTGAGCACCCTAGCTTCCAATGACTTTTACGCCTTCAGTGCTGACTTTCGGCTCCTACTAGGAGAGACTCAGCTCTTTACAGACATGGGCTTTAATTCCTGTACACAGAGAGATCTACTTATTCAGTGAGTAAGGCAGGCAGGATGGGGCACTGATTTGGCATTACTATCCCAAAATGCAGGAAATATCTCAGTTGCACTCCAGATTTAGCTCTGTTCCTATAGAACTCAGAACCAGAACTTCAATGGACTTTAGTAGGCCCCCAGGATTTGACATTTATGTACCGTAGCATTCAAAACTGGGCATCTGTCATAGAGCAAATTCCTTTGTTAAATGGAATTGATTCTCCCAACTCTCCCCGTATCGTCTCATCAGGTCAAAACAAATAGTCAAATTCTTGAATTTCATATAAGCAGGTTTAATTGTTCAGATACCAAAATAGCACAGGCTAGAACCTTCCTGTCACTGTCTTGCTTATTAGTAATGATGCTTTTGTGCCATTGGTATCACTTTAAAAGTACTGGATTCTCCAGTGAGTAGGTTACAAGTTGGGAAGTGGATGGGCGCTGGAAACTATTTCCAAAGTACCCTTTATTCTGGGGAGAACTGAATGCTGCCTCTGCACTCAGCCTGTGTGCTAACTCTAGAGGGCATACATACCTAGAAGAGAAACTGACTGAGACTGAACCCAATGGTGTACTGCTGTTAAACAGTGTGAAAAGGGCTTTATTTTCTCCAGGGCCTAATACTGCATCTGGGATGTGCACACAGGCTACAAAGCAGCTGCACTTACTTTCTTATCTCACTTTTCAATCCTGGACCTTGTCCAGGTTGAACAATAGTCACTTAGTTTGTCTATTTTCTGCCTACCGGAGACAATGGGAGTCAATATTAACCAAGTTACTCCATGTAGATCAAGGACAATTAACAAAAGCAGAAGAGGCATGGTCAGGAAGCTCCCTTTGCAGAAAGACTGCAAAGGCCATTTACAGCTCCTCTGTCCCCTGCAAATGTCAGTCAGTTACAGCCTCAATACAGCAAAAGAACTAAATTCTCTCACGCACAGAGCCCACAATTAAAGATGGAGCTGGGCAAAATGGTGTGTGTGGGGAGGGGGGAAATAATAAATACATTAACTTTGTGGCATGTAATAATGATTAACTCTTTTCCGTCAGAGATGCATCCAAACACTTCACAGAGAAGCGGTAGGTATTATCTCCATTCCACTGAGACATGGAGATTGGGATGGAAATTTTCATTGCTGCCAAAGAGATCTGGATTCCCAGGTGGCCAAATCCCCTGTTCAGCTTTGAAAATGTCAGCCCCGGTGTCCAAAGGGAATGGCAGTGCAGGAGGGCTGGAGGTCGGGGGGAGCGGGACCTTGATTGCCAGGCCTGGTACCTTGACTACAGGTCCTGTTTTTGAAGCAAAGCCTCTTGCATTTTAAAATCTCACTGCGATGAGGCTCAACTTGTGCCTTGAATCGTGCAACTTTCACGAGTTTCAGCACAACCTGGGAAAAGCCACTTTGCACAAGCAGCCGGCGCTGCGATGAAATCCGGGGGCTCAGAAACAGCCTGGAATGAAACAGCAAATATTTCCTGGTGCTAATATCTGAGAGCCCGCAGTGCTGTTCTCACGCAGTTCTAGCAGGGGCGAGGAGCAGCCAGCCCGGAGCAGAGGCACCTGCATTTAGCCCAGGTGTCAGCCCGGACTCCCTGCAGGGCAGCACGGGGCTGCTCGCGGCGCATGGTACCGCGCTGGGCAGGGGCTGGGCCAGCAGGTGCCGGCTGCACGGAGCGGCACGAGCCGCCAGCCTGGCCTTGAACGTCAGCGTGCAAGGGGGGCGGGGGGAGCCCAGTGCGGTTCCCAGGCTCAGTTGCTCAGGCGGCGGGAGCTGCGGCAGCATCCCTGGAAGCCGGGCCCTCAAACCCCTCCTCCCCGCCTCTCTCTCCCTGCTTCCTGCCGTGCAAAGATGGCAACCGAGGGGCTGCACGAGAACGAGACCCTGGCGTCCCTGAAGAGCGAGGCGGAAAGCCTGAAGGGCCGGCTGGAGGAGGAGCGGGCCAAGCTGCACGATGTGGAGCGTGAGTCTGGGGAGGGGCACGGCTCGGACTGCAGCGCAGCCCCCCGCGGGCACGGGCATCCCGGGGCGCGGTCGGGCCGAGCGGCGCCCCCAGTGCGCGTTCCTAGCGCGGTGCAGGTGCTGGATCCCGGGTTCCAGCCGTCCGGGCACGCGCTGAGCTGCCCCCCCCCCCGGCGCGCGTGCGGACAATGGGCAAGCGGCGCGAGCGTCCTTTGCACCCCGTTGCCCCGCTGAGTGCGGGGCCTGAGGCGGGGGGGCTGAGCCATTCCCCGAGCGCCTGTCGTGCCCTGCGCCGGGGAGGGGAGCTGCTGCTGCTGCTGCTCAGTGGGTGCTGTGATTCAGTAGCATCACTGGGTCTGACGCTCACGTTGGTCACGGTTGGTGGCGGCAGCAGCCGGAGTGAAATCCTGGCCTTGGAGTCGGGGGGAGGTTTCCACTGAGCCGGCATTTCATCCCTGCGGCGTGACTCCAAAGGGGACCATTGCCGCGTTCAAAAAACCCAACCTCCCCTAGCACTGATAGAAAACTTCCCAGCAATTCAGCTGTCAAGTCATCGACATGAATCCAGTGTGTAATCAAGCTCCCTAGTCACTGCAATACAAATAAATGATCGTGCATAATTTTACATCCTCCTCCCCTTTTACTCTGGTTAATGCAAAATAATTTAACCTTGTTAATCTGAAATCCCTGAGATACAAGACACTATTATTATTTATTATTAATAGTAATATTATTTATTAATTACTTTTCATTCCTTTTTTTTTAAACTAAATATTATAGGTATAAATTGCAACATTTTTCTTGTACTATAGGGGTGATTTTGCCAGTAACTTTTGTGGGCTTATTACAACTTTGATCCTCCTGTCTTTGTTTTTGAAGTCTGTGTTGAAAGGGGATACAAACCACTATCTAGTGATTTATGTGATCATTGTTCGTTACTCCAGGGGAATGGCAGGAGTGAGTATACGTAAAATTCAGATTAAAAAAAAAATACACCTGCTACTTTTCTGTAGCAAATGAGGCATTTTCTTGCCTAAATTTGATTATCATAGGTTTTGTCAATGTCCTTTTAACAGGAATCATTGAATGGAGATGGCCTCCTTATAGAAACATTACCATAAATCAATACAATCTTGCAGTATAATTTCTACGTATGAACAATGAGGCCTTAATTCAGCAAAACACTTAAGTACATGCTTAAAACCATCTCTGTTTAACCAAGCATATGCTTAACTTTAACTGTAGCTGTAGTCTCATGATGTGGAGAGTATTCCACAAACATGTTTTTGTTTACTTCATAGATCTGTAAATAAATGTTTTCTTGAATTTTGTTTGATTAAGGCTGCGTATTTGCCCAGGGTTTGACTTCCATGACAAAATCTGTGACTTTTAACATTTTTCCCCTTTAAAAGTAATTTTTTTCACCCTAGTGTGCCCACTACTGAGCAAAACTCCTCCATTATTTTTATAGATTTAGTTCTGTGTTGAGGCTTCTGTCTCTCTGTGCTTTAAAACTATTTCCAACAGTTATTTCTATTGGGGAAATAAATTAAATAACTTCCTTTTTTGAAATCTAAAATTATGACTCACTTTTTGCCATGACAAAATCATGATTTTTCCCATTTTCCCGCAAGACAAACTGCCTGCCTTAATAGCTTTTTCCTTCTTTGTTCAATTATATTTTGAACTGTAGCCCTGTGGAAAAAATGTGAACAGATATCTGAAGTCCTACCCTTTTATTTGATTTGCCGTCTGGAAAACTCTCAGGGTTAATTACACCATTTAAAAGTTCAAATTGAAAATATAAACAATTATTTTGTCTATTTGATTCATAGATTTTAAGGCCAGCAGGGACTGTTATAATCATCTAATCTGACATACCCCCTTTCCTCCCACTCCCCCTTCTCCCCTGCATAACAGGCCAAAGAACTTCACCCAATAATTTTTGCATCAAGCCCCATAACTTTTGTTTAACTATAGCATACCTTATAGAAAGATATCCAGTCATATTTGGAATATTATGGGCCCAATCCTTCACCTTTACTCACACAAGCTACCTCTTGGGAATAGTCCTGTGCAGTGGAGCTACTCACTTGAGTAAGGGTTGCAAGGTCAGGCCCATAGTTTGCAATGGTGTTTTTACAAATATTACAGAATTGTTATATTCTTATGAAGTCTGTAGGGATCAGTGTTCTAAGAGAGTTATTTATACTAAAATAGCCAGTTCTGCAGAATTTATGGTGCATTAACAGAAAGGAAACATGTAGGCTATTGGCAGTAAAAAGATTTGTTTTATTTGATAAGTTCTGGACACAAGAATTTCAGCCTAGTCTTCCAGTTGCCGTAACAATGTCCAGTATTTGTATTTTGATTATATTATTTCAGGATCTCAGTAGATCATTTGATTGGCTTCACTTGATGAGGAGCGTGGGAGGGGGGATGTAGTTTTTCAATGGGTTTAATTGATACTTTTTGGAAAGGCTAGTTTGCTTCTAGCTCCTCATGAAGATCGTTTTGTAATGGACGAATTGTCAGGAATAATGGGCAGCAATTTAGTTCCCTTGCTATATGAGGTTTAGTGTCTTGTAGGGCAGTGTTTGTAGCTAAAAGCATTATTTCAGTTTCTGGCACAGTCTGCAAGGCTGATGTGTTTTGAAAGATGATTATTGAACAGCCAATCCATTAGAAATCAATTTCAGATGTAGGCAGAAATTGCTCAGCTGATTGTGAGCCAAAGAGCCATCTTTGTAGAGTACGGATGCCCGTCCTTTCCCTGTGACAGCCCTTCCTAGCTCACGTGCTTTCCCATCACTGCTTAAACACAGGACAAAGATTTTAGCTGTGAGTTTTGTCATGCGGGGATCTGTTTACATTAATATAATTGCAATTTAGGTTCTGAGTTACCCACAACTTTCATCGATAGCGATTGCAGCTACCCAGGGCAATCACTTATCACCATAGGGATTGAACTCAGAGCTCCAGCCCCAACTCACTTGAGCTAAAAGAGGAAAGGCCAGATACAAAAGAGCACTGAAGTCAAAGGGAGTCTTTCCACTGATTCCAGTGTGTTTGGATCAGGCGCTGTCTCTTCTAGCTGATCACAGTGGCTGATATGGGCAACCCACTAGCAACTGACACGCACTGGATCACTTCAGCGTGTCTCTGGATCAGGCTCTTTTTGGTCTCCGGGGCCCGGGCACACGGCTGTTTTACAGCACACCACCTCCTAGGACTCCTACTCCAGCCTCTGGCTCGAGTAGCAGCCCCATTCCTCCATGCTCCTCCTTGTCAGGTGTTTTAAAGGTGGTAGAGCCACTAGATCAGGGGTGGGCAAACTATGGGCCGCATCCAGCCCGCCAGCCATTTTAATCCGGCCCTCAAGCTCCCGCTGGGGGAGCAGGGTCTGGGGCTTGTCCCACTCCGGCGCTCCAGTCGGGGGGTCACCCCGCGTGGCTCCCGGAAGCAGCAGCATGTCCCATCTCTGGCTCCCATGCATAGGGGCAACCAGGGTGTTCCGCTCCGCACACTGCCCCCGCTCCAAATGCGGCCCCTGCAGCTCCCATGGCCAATGGGAGCTTCACGGGCAGCGCCTGCGAACGGGGCAGTACGCAGCAGAGCCGCCTGGCCGCGACTCAGCATAGGAGCTAGAGTGGGGACATGCCGCTGCTTCTGGGAGCCGCTTCAGGTAAGCGCCACCCAGAGCCTGCACCTCTGAGCCCCACCCCCCCGCGCCCCAACCCCCTGCTCCAGCCCTGATCCTCCTCCTGCCCTCCGAACCCCTCGATCCTAGCCCAGAGCACCCTCCAGCACCCCAAACCCCTCATCCCCAGCCTCACCCCAGAGCCTGGACCCCCAGCCAGAGCCCTCACTCCCTCCTGCACTCCAACCCCAATTTGGTGAGCATTCATGGCCTGCCATACAATTTCCATACCCAGATGTGGCCCTCAGGTCAGTCCAAAAAGTTTGCCCACCCCTGCACTAGATCCACATAAATGCAGATACAATGTCTCCTCCTGTTACTCTGGTTACGTGGGGCCAGCACAGAGTCCTGTTGCTCCTGTGTGAAAGGAGGCAACATGGCCCTGCTGAGCCCTTCATAGAATGAACATCACTGGGTCAGAAACAAATTAGTGCTCTCCTCCCCTCCCCCCCCCCCCCCGACAGCCTCAGCATGAGGCTTCAGGGGTGCAAGATGGCTTTGAACTGTGCCAGTTGCAGTGGGGTGGATTTCACACTGAGGTGCCTTTGCACATTCATTTTTACAGCCATGTCCTGTTGGAAATCTAAGATTATTTATAGAAACAGCAGATGGAAACTCTGCTGAGAAATAACTTAAAACATTGTGAGAACTCCAGCTGGAGGATTTTATTTAGGATTCTCCACAATGAATAGAAACTGTTTCACAGAGTCATATGTTTTTAGAAATAAACACTTGCTATTAATCAAACACCAGTCAAGTGAAGTGCAAAGGCTTTGTTGCGCTGATGCAGGTTAATGTCATAAGATACGATGCTGTCACAAGAACTGCTCAGCCACTCAGCTCACGCAGAAGCGCATAATGCCTGCGTTTGGCACACAGACTTCCCATGGCTTCCAGTGGGAATTCTGAGTGCAGATCAAACCTCTGAAGTGCAGTACCTATAGCACCTTGAGGTCAGAGCTGCCACATTAAAATGGCCTCACATTGCTGGGACTGAAATTATTTAAAAAAAACCCAACCTTTTATAAAATTAAAAGCACTTTCTGAGGATTTTAGAACCACAACAATAATTTGAGACAAAACACTGCACTAAAAAGTGAGATCTCCAAAATATTATGACATTATATATAATTTTTCAAACTTTTTTTTTTAATTCTGAACAAATGTAAAAAGTCCTAAATAATGTAGATGAATTTTTGTAAAATAAACACCACATACAACCCTCTCCCCCCAAACAAAACCTGGTATGTTTTGATTAGATGGCATTCTCTATGGTCTCGTCTATTTCTAATAGCTATGCTTCAGTGAAGAATACTATACATGTGGTGGTTAGATGTGCTTCAAGTGAACTTCGAGCCTGATCTTGCACTCACTCACCTAACTACTCACCTGAATAGACTCATTGTGCTACCTGGAATTACTCATGTGGGTAAAGTCACTCATGGGTATTAAATGTTTGGAGGCCCAGGGTTTTAATATGGAGCAAACATTTGGTGATTCTCTTTATGGTTAATTCTCCACAGTTCATCAGGTGGCGGAACGTGTGGAAGCCCTAGGTCAGTTTGTGATGAAGACCAGGAGAACTCTGAAAGGCCATGGCAATAAAGTCCTCTGCATGGACTGGTGCAAAGATAAAAGACGAATTGTGAGCTCTTCCCAGGTGAGGAAATGTGTAGGTGCTATTCGAAATCAGTGATAGCCAAGCACAATTCTGATAGCTACACTAGGTAACGTTAACTGGAAATGAAATCTACGTTTAGTCTAAATGCTTTCATAATGCCTAAAGCATTCTTTTAGCAACATGTTTGTTCAGAGAACACAAACCAGACTACTGAATAAAGAATATAATTCTGGTAAGCATCACCACACCTATTGGAGGTGAGACCCTAAAGACCCCTCATCTATTTTTCAAACAGAATTTTTCCAGTGTTCAGAGTATGTTAGCACATTACATATGCAGTATTACAGCAAGCCGATTTGGGAGCAGATGCATCTTATTCTCTCTGGACACTCAGTATGCAGCACTTCACCCCGTCATTTGAATTAACATATGAAGAGAAAGAATTGGGATGGAGAGATCTGAAAACATTCTGATTCTACTTGAAAGGTCTCCGTGTGATCTGTGAACATGAAATCCTTTCTGTGATCTGGAAGATGGATGTGACCTTGAAAATAAACAACCTCACTCAGCCAGCTAGAACTATTACAAATATTTGGACATTTTGATAAATAGTCATTAAGTCTGTTTGGATCAGTCTTATGTCACAAAGTTATGCAGGGGAATGGGGGAGGTATTGAGATAAAAGCCTTTCACTTCTAGGTCACTGGTTCACATTCAGAATGGTAATGGCTGGAACTTGTTACATCTGACGGCTGTTCATTGGCCTCTATGAAATGAGTTGCTGGTCTCAATCTACCGCCTACAGGATAGAATAAGATATCTGCATCACAAACCACCATGAGAGTTACTGCTGTCTGGCACCATCCTTGGAGGTCTCAGTCAGGAGATCAAAGATTGATCATTTACTAAGCTATTTTTTGAAGTGGTAAAGTATCAGTGTATAGGTATGAAAGCAAAAGAGAGAGAGGCTTTATTCCACTTTAAAATATGTGTCCTGAAAAAAACCACACCCAGTGATTCTGTGAACCAGTCTGGGGGTTCAGGTATTAGCATTGCAGACACGTTGAGGTTTGTTTTTTGTTTGATGGCACTTCGATCATTTCATTTTGCATTTTTTTAAAACTTCTATTTTAAGAAATTAATGAGCCCAGGGACAATAACAATAGCTGGTTACAAACAAACAATTCACTCTTACCAGTCTGGAATGTTAAAGGATATTATGCCAGCCAAAGGTAATTGGCATCAATGCACAGATAAGGTGATTATGTAGCACACTATTGGTTGCATGTTTATTCTTGTTAGTAGGTTACTTAAGTGGGCAACTAAAAGTTAAGTAAGAGCAGTAGTAGAAAAAAGGGGAGCAGAGAAAGGGTGGAATGGGAAAAGAAGATAAATAGACTGATCTGAAGAGGAGATGTAACTGAGAGGATAATTATGAGCTAAGATAAGTTCATTTGTAGGAGAAAAGAAGGAGAATAAAAATTCATCCAGGTGGTTGTTTCTTGAGAAGATAATGATCTCCATGATAAGTGTTGAGAACAGCTCCTTCCTTTCATTTAAAGGCTACATCTACCCTGCGAGCTAGTGCCTGATTCCCCTACTCGCATACTCATGCTAGTGTTCAGCAAGCTCGCATGAATACAAGTAGCAGTGTAGCCCTGGTAGCATGGGTTGGGGCAGTGGAGACACGGCTGAGCTGTGTCAAGTACATACCCACCAGTTTCAGGCAGGTGTGTACTGGGAATGGGTAAGCCATGCCGCTGCTACCACTGCCCGTGCTACTGCGTTTACACTACTATTTATCTTCACACTAGCACTCATTGAGCTAGTGCAAGTTGGTGTATAACCCCTAGCGCATAGTGTAGACAGCCAGAGAGGGAGGGTCTTGCTCTCTCTGTAGGCTAAGGAAAGGTCTTTTAAAGAGAGTCGTGAGTGCTAAGACTGATTTTCCAGAGGCACACTGGAGTTGCATTTACAGAAATAACTAGCCTAATTATGCGGTGTCTCTGATTCATAGCGCACTTCACTGTTGCTAATAGCAGTGTTGTAAAGGTGGTGACACATTTCCTGGGGAAATGGCATGTGGGACAGAAGTTAACAGCAGTGCTTTGCCCAGATCTCTGAAATACAGGAGTGAAAGTACACTTTGAAGCCCCTAATTTCTCTCTCCATTGTGTGTTGAATTTAGGATGGGAAGGTGATAGTGTGGGATTCCTTCACTACCAACAAGGTAAGTGGACTTCTACAGTTTCTGTATATAAAGCCAAATATGGCTGCACTGCGCGGATGTGCTAGAGATGGAAGTGGAAACCCTTCCCTCTCTATCTTCTTCAGTGCACCAGATCTCCTGGCACCACTGCCTGGGCACTAAGTGTTTGGGAGTTTGAGTTTCCCACACTCTGCTCTCCAGCTGGAGTTTGAGCATGTCATTATTCTGGGCACTGGCTGGTACAGAGCAGGGCTGGCGACGTGCAGGCTACACCTATAGAATATCTGTAGTGAGTGCCATGAATAAGCATGTGCCCTGGCATATTTTGACCCCTTGGGTTTTCTCCTGGCTTCTTTAGCCATAATGTCCCCAGATGTCCCTGCATGAGAGATGCTGCTCCCTCCCAGTGTGGCTCAGGTCTGCGTAGCCTTAGCAGAAGCTATAGCTAATAAAAAGTGTCATTAGCATTATAAAAACAGGCGGTGTAATGTACCTTTGAACAAATGCTGCAATGACCATCCAAAATGTGGAGAGTTCTAAAGTGGCCCTTGCAGGTGCCCAGCATCTTACTCAATTGTCCTGGAGTAATTCACAACCAGTCACTTTGTGCTGGGAAATAAGACTAGAGGTACCAAGAAATGCATGACTTGGCAGTTGAGGCTTGATTCTCATCCTCATACATTCTCTTGCTTTCACAATGAAAGTTGATCTTGAATTACAGCTTGATTCTCCACTATTCAGGTTTAGGAGCAAAAATCTGTTAAAAAATGGGCATGGTCTCTGATCTGTTATCTATTTTCATTAAATACAGCAAGGGGTCATGACAGCATTTGAGCAATTTCGGCCTCTGTATGGTTATTTTAACACCAATTAGTGACATGATAATACACTCAGAAGTTGATTCTTGAGCTGTAAGGAGAATATTATGTTTCAGGAACATGCGGTGACTATGCCATGTACCTGGGTGATGGCATGTGCATATGCCCCATCTGGATGTGCCATTGCTTGTGGGTAAGTAAAAGCTCTTGCAGCTTCTTAAACTAGAGGAGCTGTGACTTTGTGTCCCAAGTAAATGTAACTTATGGAGCTGGGGGAATATTTTAAAATGTTGGCTCTCCCCTTCCCCTCTTTTCCCCCCCCCCTTTCTTCAAGAATGCTTTAGAAAACAATTTGGAATCCCAGGGAAAAGACCTGATATTTAGTAGTTTTAGCAGAAAAAAGCAACTATCCAACTTAATCAGATGAGTATTATTTTTAAAAAAAAATCTTTATATGTGGCCATCTTTACCCATCACTGGAAATGATTGACAGCTTAACAAATACTGACAGTGATATCATTTGGATGCTATAAGCCAGTGGTTTCCAAACGTCTTCCATCGCTTGCGCAGGGAAAGCGCTTGGCGGGCCGGGCCGGTTTGTGTACCTGCCGCATCCGCAGGTTCAGCTGATCGTGGCTCCCAGTGGCTCGGTCCGCGCTGCTTCCAGCAGCTCCCATTGGCCTGGAGCAGCAAACCGCGGCCACTGGGAGCCGCAATCGGCCAAATCTATGGACGCAGCAGGTACACAAAGTGGCCCGGCCCGCCAGGCGCTTTCCCTGCACAAGCGGCGGAACAAGTTTGGGAACCACTGCTATAAACATTTAGGAAAGTGTTGCACCCAGTGGGCGTGGTTCTGTCCCACACTGGTTCACATGGGTGTAACTCCATTGACTTCAGTCGTGTTACTTCTGATTTGTATCAGCATGAGAGGAGAAATGGACCCAAAGTAGGGCCTGATCCAAAACCCCTTGGAATGAATGGGAGTCTTTCAATGGCATATTTTGATAACCTCGTGACTTTGTTCATATGGAGCAGAAATCTGTCCATGCTTCAAACTTCTGAAAATATCTTAGGACCTCATATTGCCCTGGGCCTATATAAGTAACATTCAAGTTTGAAGCACAGACAGCTAAAGATATCTGTTCCATAGGAATAAAGTCACATAGTAATCAAAACATGCAATATGGGCCTGATCCAATATGCAATATGGTGTCAAAGGGAGTTTCACAGTATGTGCAGATCAAGGGCATGTAGGGCCTTGAGACTGTATTAAGTTATGTGCAAATTTAGTACACAAAGAAATTGAACTCCTGCTTTTTGTCATCTCATCATTAGATCATGGAACCTCAAATGTTAAATACTTTATTCCAAAGAATTCTTTTTCAGCAACACAGTCAATATTTCCACTGCCTATTTTCAAGCTATTTTGAAAGTATTATCTTTAAGGCATCTGTTGCTATATGTCTTTTTCCATAGAAGATGTGCCAAATTCAGTAAGTTGGATAAATGGTAACATCATGAGAGTAAATACTAAAAACTTAATTCAATAGAAAAATGGCAATTTGACTTTATTCAAAAGATTAACTGCAAGGTTACTACTGGATTACTTGTCAATACATGTTGGATGGACTGTGGTTCAGTAACAAGCAGTTTATTAATTAAATGCATGTAATAAATACTGGGGACTAGGTCCTCAGTCCCTCTTCCAGCTGTTCAAGCAGTACAAAATAGCCATACATTTGCCATAAAGAAGCAGCTGGGGATTCCCTTAGCATGTGGGAATCCCAGGTGGTGTAATAGAACGGAAATCTACATTTGTAAGGATTTGGTGTTGCAGAATTTTTAGTATATTTCACCCTTACATTTGTTTCTCATCCCACTTTTTCTTGTCATTAATGTTTTCTCTGTCTTTTTTTTTTTAATTCTTAACTCTAGTGGCCTGGACAATAAGTGTTCTGTGTATCCACTGACATTTGATAAAAATGAAAATATGGCTGCAAAGAAGAAATCTGTTGCAATGCACACAAACTACCTGTCTGCCTGCAGCTTCACTAACTCAGACATGCAGGTAAATACATTCAGATTCAGCATATAATACAAAACCATGAGCTGGATTTATACTTGCTGCTGCAGGAAGATGCAAAGTATGCTTCCTTGCACCAGAGATGGTCACTGTGCAGTGGGGTATTCACATTCTGTGCAAGGCAGTGGTTCCTGCTAAGAAGGACAGCGTCCATCTCTGCTGCAAGCTCCATAAAAGCTCTTGCTCACAGAGGCTGTAAGTAAGGATGTGCTGATTCAGATTTTATATATTTTTATTTATACATTTATATATCTGGTGAGCTGAAAAACAGAGAGACCAAGTAACTTGCCAAAGATCTCACAGGTATCCTATAGCAGAGTGGGGAATAAAATGCATGTCTTTTGAGTGCCAATCTGGTGCCTTAGTTACAAGAGCATCCTTCCTATTTAATAAATAAATAAACCCCAGCTCCTGCAAGTTCATGAGAGTATGTGGGCATGAAAGATTCCAAGATAATCGTCTATCCCATTCTGGTTTTAGAATTTAATTGATGTTATACTTATTATATACTGATGTAGCAAAATAAATGGGAAGAGGGGGTATTTTCATTGTTATGCAGACTGTGAAGTCTGGATAGAAAAGATATGCTTGTTTACTTGGCTATTTACAGATATTTACAGCTCTTCCTAAGGAAATATCAGCTAGGATTGCTTCTATTTCAGGACATGAGCTACCCAAGAGTGAGCTGTTATTTGCCATTATGTGGTTTCAGTAATGAATCTGAGATGCTGATTCAAGTCTATTGCTATGGAAACAGAGGAAAGTCAAGGATCTACCCAGAGTGCTCTAGTGTACTTAATTGTGGCCTTACAATGCAGGAGTCCAGTATAATTAGGGCAGAGTAAACATGAAGTCTAAATTAGGTGGAATGTTGTTTGTGAAATACAAAAATAGTGTTTCGCTTTCCTGGTTACACCTGTGTGAACCATGGCTTTTTATTTTTGTAGGTTTTTAGTATTCTCTTCATAATCAAGGAGTGAAAACAGCAGAGTTTTTCTTTTATGTTCATGTAGAGTACAATAGATATTGTAGATAGATATAGATACAATAGGTATTATACTGAATAAATTGCTATTTATTATTTGTGTAGCACCAACCATGTACGTAGGTGCTTTAGACAGACAGCTCTGGGGGAGCCCTGACCCAAAGAGCTTAGTCTAGCTATACAAAGATATTGAGTTGGGGATCAATAGGTGTTTATGTTTTGAGTGATATTTTGTAGTGCCGTTTAAAAATATAGCAGTGAAAAGAAGAAAGAGAGATCAGAAAATTCAACCCAAGCTGGCCATACAGCTCTCCTTCGGGATGCTGGTTGTTGGGAAATAGTCTCCATTTCTGGTATAACGACCCTGGGATAAAATTACTTTTGAAACAATTAGGCTATGGTGTCAAATGTGCATAAACAGTTACAAGCTTTTCCCAGTACTACTTTTTGGTTAAATATTAGTCATTTGGATGCACTGAGCAGTTCCTTTCCTCTTGGGACACATCTACAATGGACTTACTCCCACCCATGGAATAACCCCAAACATAACTGAAAGGCCTCATCCTGCCGGGAGCTGAGTACCTTATGTTAATAACAAGGAAAGCTGCTCATCACTTTGTGGGAGACACACAGCACCTTCACAGGAGCAGGCCCTCTCATGCAGCAATGTGAAAACCATGTTGTCCCGCTCCAAGCCAGCTGCACATACATTAGTAATATCAGTACTTGGGGATCTCCAAGCCAGCTGCACATACATTAGTAATATCAGTACTTGGGGTTCTCCAAGCCAGCTGCAAATAAATTAGTAATATCAGTACTTGGGGATCTCCAAGTATTTTACATGCAGAGGACAGACAGATGGTAGAAGAGTTGGGAATTGAACTCAAGTACTCCTGAGTCACTGTCTCTTAAGAACATAAAAACATAAGAACGGCCGTACCAGGTCAGACTAAAGGTCCATCTAGCCCAGTATCCTGTCTACCGACAGTGGCCAATGCCAGGTGCCCCAGAGGGAGTGAACCTAACAGGCAATGATCAAGTGATCTCTCTCCTGCCATCCATCTCCATCCTCTGACAAACAGAGGCTAGGGACACCATTCCTTACCTATCCTGCTAATAGCCATTAATGGACTTAATCACCATGAATTTATCCAGTTCTCTTTTAAACGCTGTTATAGTCTTAGCCTTCACAACCTCCTCAGGTAAGGAGTTCCACAAGTTGACTGTGCGCTGCGTGAAGAACTTCCTTTTATTTGTTTTAAACCTGCTGCCTATTAATTTCATTTGGTGACCCCTAGTTCTTGTATTATGAGAATAAGTAAATAACTTTTCCCTATCCACTTTCTCCACATCACTCATGATTTTATATACCTCTATCATATCCCCCCTTAGTCTCCTCTTTTCCAAGCTGAAGAGTCCTAGCCTCTTTAATCTCTCCTCATATGGGACCTGTTCCAAACCCTTAATCATTTTAGTTGCCCTTTTCTGAACCTTTTCTAGTGCTAGTATATCTTTTTTGAGATGAGGAGACCACATCTGTATGCAGTATTTGAGATGTGAGCGTATCATTGTTTTATATAAGGGCAATAATATATTCTCAGTCTTATTCTCTATCCCCTTTTAAATGATTCCTAACATCCTGTTTGCTTTTTTGACCGCCTCTGCACACTGCGTGGACATCTTCAGAGAACTATCCACGATGACTCCAAGATCTTTTTCCTGACTCGTTGTAGCTAAATTAGCCCCCATCATATTGTATGTATAGTTGGGGTTATTTTTTCCAATGTGCATTACTTTACATTTATGCACATTAAATTTCATTTGCCATTTTGTTGCCCAATCACTTAGTTTTGTGAGATCTTTTTGAAGTTCTTCACAGTCTGCTTTGGTCTTAACTATTTTGAGCAATTTAGTATCATCTGCAAACTTTGCCACCTCACTGTTTACCCCTTTCTCCAGATCATTTATGAACAAGTTGAATAGGATTGGTCCGAGGACTGATCCTTGGGGAACACCACTAGTTACCCCTCTCCATTCTCAGAATTTACCATTAATTCCTACCCTTTGTTCCCTATCTTTTAACCAGTTCTCAATCCATGAAAGGACCTTCCCTTTTATCCCATGACAGCTTAATTTACATAAGAGCCTTTGGTGAGGGACCTTGTCAAAGGCTTTCTGGAAATCTAAGTACACTATGCCCCCTGGTCTCCCTCTTCCTCAAACCGCTAGAGATGCTCTCACCTCTTAATGACTATGAAGCATTTCTAGTCCATTCCAGAGAAAGCAAAAGTTTGGAGTCTTCTGTGAGCCCCAAAATATCCTAACATTTCAGCCTTGGTTTCTGTATCATTGTAGCTAACACATTTTTATTCCTCCAAGGACAGGAATGAATGTGTTTTACCCAAAAGCCTGGTAAAATGCTGAATATTACCACGAGGTGGCAGATGAAGACACCTGATCCAGTGTTTCCAGACTTGCTGAAAGTCTAGCTAGAAGACTAAAACATGATAAGCAAAGTAGATCTTGCACTCCATGTTTTTGTATAAGAATAGTTTCAACTTGAGTTCATATTTCCAAACTAACCATGCTTATTATAAAATATAATGAAGAGCTCTGTGTTAAAAATGGATCACACCCTTAAAACTTCTGTCTGCCCCTTCCCCTGCATTTCATTCTATGCTGCTCATTTGGCTATCAAAATGGGAAAGGCTGAAATCTAGCAGCTGACAATCTCAATGTCTCATCCTGAAAATGTAACTATTCCTCATAATACAAAAATGTATCATCCTAGATGCAAAAATTAATGAGAGATAATTTAGGATTTGATTCCACACCCTCAATCCCAACATTTTAGCACATCTCCGCATACAATGGGGACAGCAGGACCCAAAACAGACTGTCCTGCAATTTTTACAAACCTCTAAGTGCCACTGTATCTACTGAAGGGTAACCAAAACTGAGCTTTTGCCAAAAATAATTTGTTTTTAACCCACGTGTAGCCCTGTAAGTGACTCTCTCTACTTGCATGATTATTTATCCCCTTGCAGTGTGATTCATTTTGGCTTCCAACCACAGCTGACTTCCCTAGCAATTGCTTCACTAAGCATTAAAAAAAAATTGGGTATGAACCATGTCTCTTCCACTACTTGTCTAGGGAGAGCCACCTTAATGCTTAAGTTGTGAGCCTTGTGATTCCTTGTTCAGTATACAGGACTAAACCATCAGACAACATTTCAGCATACAAAATTTGTGATTGTGTAAGAGCTGCTGATGGCCACAGGGAAGTTTTGTACAATTGAGGGTCTTCATCAGGATGAGAGTAGCTGTTGGCAACGTTCAGTCATTACATGTCCAAATCCAGTCACACATTAATGATTTAGGATATGTGATGGACTTGCCAAACAATTGTTGGTCTAAGCTCATGCACACAAAAGATGCCACATTCAAATTATCTGTAATTTATACGGATTTTGTTGGCTCCAGACCTGGCTGTTTCAGGTAGTAGAATAAGAGGAGCTTAAAAAGTTTATTTAAATCCACCAACTCTTCAATTAACCCTTTTTGGATTCCAGTTTCATTAATGTGGACAGGGCAGACATACCGATCTGGGACTAAGAACTTCCTGGCTGAAATGGAAATACCAGCAGATCACAAGCTTGGATGCACTAGTTGGTGTCCCCTCAAACAACAGAATTAAGTTAATATTTGTTGTGTCTATCATAATATTCTGTTTCTCCCTCCCCCCCCCCAAACTCTGCCACCTTCCTTTTGAAAAAACCATGCTGAGATCCACATAGGTTTACTGACTCCGATCTATTGAACATTAAGTTCAGTAGAATCTCAGAGTTACAAACACCTTGGGAGTGGAGGTTGTTCATAACTCTGAACAAAATATTACGGTTGTTCTTTCAAAAGTTCACAAATGAACATTGATTTAATACAACTTTGAAACTTTACTATGCAGAAAAAAATTCTGCTTTTAACCATCTTAATTTACCTTGTCAAATCTTTTTCTAAACTTTCCCTTTATTTTTTTAGTTTACGTTTTACACAGCACTGTACTGCATTTTGCTTTCTCTCTCTCTCTCTGCTGCTGTGGAGTGTGGTTGACTGATCAGTTTGTAATTCTGAGGTTCAACTATAAAATCCAATTCGTTGCGCGTGGGAGGCACAACGGTTTCTGAGTGAACCTGAGGCTTTTATGTGATGTTGTACTGTTGCCCTTTTCTCACCTACTATAGATCCTGACCGCTAGTGGAGATGGAACGTGTGCCCTCTGGGATGTTGAGAGTGGGCAGCTTCTACAGAGTTTTCATGGGCATGGGGCTGATGTCTTGTGCCTGGATCTGGCCCCTTCTGAAACAGGAAATACGTTTGTGTCTGGGGTAAGTGGGATTTTTATTTAATGATATAAAACAAGGAATGAAGGAAGGGGAAAGGAAGGGTATGTAGGAAAAGGGGACATTTGGGATGTTGTTTAAAGAGGAGGGTGGGATATATGGGGAAAGACCATACAGAGCAAGTAGTTCTGTCACTGCAAGCACACTTCTCAAGCTGGAGCAAATTAACACTTTTCCTGAAAGGTCAAACCCAAACCCCATCAGACTGATTGTAGCTAAAGTATTTAGCAAATTCCACCCTACATTAAAATAATCCATCACGTTATCAAAAGCTTCCCTTGGGAAGGGGAAAGACCAAGAGTTAAAGCAGTAAAAGTTCATAGAGCGGAAGGTGGTGTAGGCCTTCCATAGATAGAATTCTGTTATGCTGCACGTGGCTTTTCACACTTGCCTCCTTTTCTTCACCCTACTCGTTCCCTACTTGGATTCCTGTAGAGAGCTTGATCATCAGGCGTGCCAGAGCTCTGCTCAATTCACCTGGGTGGGGCAGTCAATGATGCATATGCCATCTTTTTGATAACCCCCTCCCAGAAGCCTGGAGGTAGCTCGGGGACTGGTTTAGCATCAACACAAGTTAGATCATCCATAGGTATTTATGTGGGTCCAGATCTTCACCCATCACTTTGCCCTTCAGCAGCACTAACGGCACATTCAGCTACTTTAATTAGCCATCAAGGATTTATACCACTTGCTCTCCCATCTCCTCCGCCTAGGGGAATATCAGAGAGGGGATGGCAGAAATGGGACAGAAGCATGCAGTACTTCACCTGATCCTTGACTGGTTGCTAGGGGACTGCTCTGTCCAGCTGCACAACTGAGTTATAGTGGAGGCTGTTTTGATATCATGTCAGGCAGTATATCGGGGAGGCATAAAGGTGTCTTAGGGATTGTCTTCACCCACTGCTTTAACTATGGACTTATCTTCACTGCAAAGTTAACTTGAGTGTTGCTCCTAACTCGAGTCCTGTTCTCACTCACAAACCCTTAACTCTAGTGTGATGGTGCTTTCAACACAAGTTGGCTGGTCCTTCAGGGGGTACAGGCTACAGGTCAGACAAGTACAATTCATCAGCTGCTAACACGATCAGTCTGTAGTGTAGATGCAGGCTGGCTCCATTTGAGTGCTGCTAGTCTTCCAGTGCCCATAAAGGACAGACGGGTTCTCTCTCACAATTCACTGAGAAAGAATGCATAGAGCCATTAAGCTCACTACAGTGCAGAGAACTACAGTATATGATTCCAGAAATCTTCATGCCACACAAGAGTGTGTGCAGCCCCAGTGTGGACACAGCAGCTCCAATGTTATTTCACAGTGTGGCTGCACTCATTTGAGCTAGCCTACCTCAAGTGGAGTAATTCAAGTGCTGGTAAATCAAGTTAACTCTGCAATGAAGACATACCCTATATTAGTTTGACACTGGTATAGTTAAAGTGGCACAGCCCCCTAGTGTGGGTGCAATTATTTTGGTGTAAAGGTACATATACCAGGATAGTTTTTCCCATAAATGTAAGGGATTAAGCTATGCCCATATAATCATATTTACATGGGGGCAAGTGTATGCATAGGAAGGGTTGACCAGTTTTAACTATTGAGCTAAAAATAGTGTGTAGACCAGGCCTTAGAGTAACCTCTGCATTTTCCTGCAGCACTGTGCCAAGCATGCCCTCAGGATTGAACCCTTGGTTTCAGTACTCAACACCCTTTTAATTCCGTTAAAAATGAATATCCTGCTCCATGTGGGGTAAATTTTACCCCTTTAAAGAACCTGTCTCCACACAGAGAAATCAGCGCAAGAACCGTGTATGTGAAGAGCCAGGTTGCGCATTGTTCTTGCATCCCAAACTCCCATAGATGTCAGTGAGAGTGGTGGGCATGCAAGGAACGCAGGGCTGGGCTTTGAAAAGTGGG